ATGAGGAATCATGGTAAGATTTTAAGCTACTGTGATCCAAGATTAGTAATCCAGAAGGATAAAGGCTACAATAAGAAACATAAAATCGAAGGGGCACAAGACTGCAGACAGAGATACCAGCGAGTAGACATAGTTTCAATATCTAGGGTAGATATGAAGATGTACTGAACTAATTAATGTCAGAGAGAAAGGGAGGGATAATGAATCAATAGAACCATCACTGAATATTAAAATCTTACAATTTCCACGTTGCTCTTTTTCTTTTCTTCAACTTTTAAGTTCAGGGTACATGCGCAGGATGTGCAGGTTTGTTACACAGGTAAACATGTGCCATGGTGGTTTGCTGCACAGGTCATCCCATCACCTAGGTATTAAGCCCAGTATCTATTAACTATTCTTCCTGATGCTCTCCCTCCCCTCACTGCCCCTCACTTTGCTCTTTAAAGCTATCACACTATAGTCTAATTCTGTATCTTCCCAAGCTCAGGTTAAACGGGCAACTGCTGAACTGCCTTAGTCATTTCCCTGAAAGCAGCCCTGTAGCAATGATCCTGACTGATGAACGTTTGACCACAGTCCAAGGGCATCCTCAGGACTAAACCCAAAAAAGACGTTCTCAATTTACATTCCACTAAGGCTCAGAACACCAAGTATTCATGAATTTAAGGCAAAGATCATACTAACTAAAAATAATATCCCAAATGCTACTATTTACATTAAAAACACAACCAGTTTTTGACAGGTCATTTATCGCAGTTATCCTGACACAATGAGTATGCAAATTCCATTCAAAAACTATGCATTGGGTATTGAAGTTGCTGTACATTAGAAATAGCATATTTGGGCTGGCTGCAGTGGCTCACGTCCGTAATCCCAGAACTTCAGAAGGCCGAGGTGGGGGGATCACTTGAGCCCAGGAGTTTGAGACCAGCCTGGGTAACAAAAATTAGCCGGGTGTGATGGCATGTACCTGTAGTCCCAGTTACTTGGGAGGCTGAGGTGGGAGAATTGCTCCAACCTGGGATGTGGAGGCTGCAGTGAACTGTGATCGAGTCACTGCACTCCAGCCTGGGCAATAGAGAAGACTGTCTCAAAAAAATAATAATAAACAAAATAAAGGAAATATGTTTGCAGAAAACAGAATTAACTTTAAAAATCTTAAAAAATCTCCAGGGGGCCAGGCACGATGGCTCACACCTGTAATCCCAGTACTTTGGGAGCCAAGACAGGTAGATCACTTAAGTCCAGGAGTTCAAGACCAGCCTGGGCAGCATGGTGGAACCCCATATCTACAAAAAGCACAAAAATTAGCCAGGTATGCCTGTAGTCCCAGCTACTTGAGAGCTACTTAGGAGGCTGAGGCAGCAGAATCATTTCAGCCTGGGATGTGGTGGTTGCAGTGAGCCAAGATCGTGCCATTGTACTTCAGCCTGAGCAAGAGAGCAAGATCCTGTCTCAAAGAAAAAAATACACACACACACACACACACACACACACACACACACACCTCTCCAGGTAAAAGGACCTCTGTTTTACTTGAGGGTAGCTAATATTTAAGGACACATAAATAAATTATTTCCACACTAGCCTAGCACCTCCAGTAGAAAGATAAAGCCTGATGCTAAACATTAGGACCTTATGTACACAGGGAAATAATAATCTGAGGTGGATGGGATAGGGGAGAGAGCATGAAGCAAGGTTTCTGCTCAGATCATTTCATCATGCAGCAACATGGCTCCCAAGGGCTAAAAGGGAAAGACGACCACCAGTTCTAGACTTTTACACAATTTCGCCTCAGGCCCCAAGCTATCAAGCCACACTAGCGCTCACAAAGAAATAAAAAATAATTAAGAAAAATAACCCATAAAGGCTATTCAACTTGCCAAGGCTATAATCTTTAGTTACTTTTAGGAAATCTTCAATCTCAACAATAAGACTCTTGAATATGAAATGTCTCTAATCTGAATGTTACCTTTAACACTGTAAGCAGAAATCCTAAAAACATCTGCCATCTAAAATAGGTTAAGAAAGGGCAATGGAAGCTTTGAAACATACCCAAGTATAAAGCAGAATTTAGTCTATAATAAAAACATTTCGAAACAGTGGAATAATCAAATAATCATTTGATAAGTAATTTTGGACAAGTCTCTAAATACTTAGAAGGAACTATAATTAGGGCTCTAGCTCTCATAAAACGAAGGGAAATACTGGGTGAATTAAGGGTAATATGTGAAAAAATTAAGAAAAAATAAAAATACTAAGAGGAAGCAGAGACTAACATATATAGTAATTTGGAGGAATAAGGAAGATATAAAAATTGTAAGTTAGAAAACGTAAAAGAAACAGAAAGACAGACCAGGCGCGGTGGCTCAAGCCTGTAATCCCAGCATTTTGGGAGGCCGAGATGGGCAGATCACGAGGTCAGGAGATCGAGACCATCCTGGCTAACACGCTGAAACCCCGTCTCTACTAAAAAAAAATACAAAAAACTAGCCGGGCGAGGTGGTGGGCGCCTGTAGTCCCAGCTACTCGGGAGGCTGAGGCAGGAGAATGGCGTAAACCCGGGAGGCGGAGCTTGCAGTGAGCGGAGATCCGGCCACTGCACTCCAGCCTGGGTGACAGAGCGAGACTCCGTCTCAAAAAAAAAAAAAAAAAAAAAAGAAACAGAAAGACCTATCTACCTAAAACACACATGCACAAACACTTTTCTCCATGTCAAATATATGTACAAAGTTAAAAGACAAATAACAGATTGGGGAAAAGAATGCTACATATGACAGATAACAGAAAAACAACCTTTATATCACAAAGATGAATTCAGCAACAGATTGCAGCACAGGCAAAGGATTATGAGTATGTAATTTACATCTAAATGTAACTAGCATATAAACGTATTTTAAAAGTGCTCAATGTAACTTTAAAGGGATGAAAATAAAAACAGTGAAATGCCTGCTACTTAGTGTTTGTAAGGCAAAATGGGGCTATCATACAATGTTACCAGGACTGTGAATATATATAACATTTCTATGGGGCCAATATGTATCAAAGTTTAAAATGTGCACCACTTCTGGCCCAATAATTCCTCTTTCGGAAATATAACTAAGGAGATCATTTCTCAAAGATGTATGCATACAAATTCATCACAGTGTTGTTTGTAATCTAGATAAATTGGAAACAACCTACACATCCATCAGTAATAATAAATTTCAGTACCTGGTAAACTAAAATATCATGCATCTATTACAAATGATGTAGAGATCATACAGATATTGACATGAAAAAAATGGTCATGACATTTCACAGGATAGTTCCATGTGAACAGGGGCCTTGGATGTTTGCTCTTCACTCTTCCAGCAACTAGAACAGTGCCTTGCACAAAACGGCTTTTCAATAAACATTTATTAAACAGATGAACTTTAAAGCAGGTTACAGAACAATAATCATAATATAGCCCTTTTCTCTCTTCCCCCTTCCCCTCCCTCCTTTGCTCTCTCTCACACACACACACACAAATTGGAAGCAGTCACAAAAGGTTGACAAGGAAATGTACTTTTGGTGTGTGCATGTTTTATTTTTCTCCATCCCTATGTATTGCATAAATTCCTTACACGGTAAGCATTTTTTATTTTTATGACTGTAAAAAGTAACAATTTTTTTAAAGGAAAAGAACTCACATATTTTAAATGAATTCCAGAATGTGCTCAGTGACTAAGCTCACAAACTCCAAAAACTAAAGTCAACAATATCCAAGTGGCATGTTTTCTTTCACTTTCAAAGAAATATCAGTATAACTTGTACCAGCAGCATCTTTCTTAGTACCAGGAAATGCCACACTGTACTAATAAAATACAGTGTTTCCAAAAGCAAAGGCACACTTCTTCCGCAGTAAAAAGGAAAAACAACAACAACAACAACAACAACAACTAAAAGTTACTAATTTCTTAAAATCTCTTCCACTAACATACACTCTATTCTAGTTCATGGTAACGATTACTATACACAATTGTTCTTTTTCTCACCCAGACTAAAAATCCAAGTGAATCGATATCAGTAATGTGCTCTATATAATTTTTTCATTTCTTTACAGAGGCAGACTTCACCTTAGTTAAACAGTGGATATACCAAACTAGCTACATACCCCATGTCTCTATTCATGCCATCACCCAGTTCTATTTCACTTACATGCTTCATCACAATCTCATAACTTTATTCAGATTTTATCTGCTTCTTCCTTCTAGAATGTAAGCCCCATGAGGACAGGAATTGTGTCCTGCTCACCACCGTGTCCCCTGGCCAAGAATAGTGAATGGTATCTAGTAGGCCTCAAGAAGTATTTGTTAAACAAAAATGAAAAGATGTGGCGGGCGGGGGGACAGTACAAATCTACATAAGACAATAAGACGAGGAATTGAAAAAAGGAAAGAAAACCACGCTGATATGTACAAGCTACAGGACTCAAAGCTATCATGCCAGCTCGCAGGTTTGGTGGACGTTTTTCAGGGTGGACAGGTGCTTCACACCTATCTAAGCGCACAGAGCTCTTTCAGGAAGAAGAAAATCCACAGGGAAGTGTCCAGAGAGCTGTGAGCAGCTCCCAGAAGTGGACACAATCACCACCCTAACAGAAACGTGGCCCAGGTCGGAAGAAAAAACAATACACCATACATCTCGGCCCAGATGAAAAATCACACGAATCCCCAGCACAACCAAACCGAGCCACCACCTTCATTCAGCCTGGCACGTAAGAGCAGTCTCCTTTCGCCTGGCTGGGCAGTCACCGGCAACCCAGCAAACCCTTCCCTCGCCCAACACTTTTCCCTCGCAAAGACCACCGCCACTGCCGGTCCGAGGGGCGAGGAAATGGGGGGGAACAGCCTGAGGATCAGCTTTCTCCACCCCCGCCCGAGCCCAGCCCCTTCAAAGCACAAACATTTCCCATTCTCGCCTGTCCCCGAGGCCCGGACCCCTGCCCCGAGCCCCTCCTGCAGTCCCTCACTCACGTGTAGATGATGGCCATGAAATGCATCAGCCACAGCACCAAGAAGAGGACGAACCCGAAGACGGCCATTCCCTCTAGGGCCAGGTCCAGCAGCGCCATCCCCCGGCCCGCCGGCCCGGCCCGGCCCGCTGCGGCCGCCAACACGGACAACGCTCCCGCAGGAGGAGGACAGGGTGGGCGCCCGGTGCGGGGGCGCGGGAGGCGAGAAGAAGGTGGGGAGAGGAAGGGGTGGAGGGGGGTGGGGACGGAAGGGGCGGGCAGGGCCTGCGCGCCCCCGCCCGCGCGCTCTCGCCCGCGCGCTGTCTTCGGCGCGCTCACGGGCGGCTGCGGGTGCTGCGGTCTCCCGGCTCTGGTCGGGGCGACTGCGGCCCCACGCCCCGGCTCGCCTCTCCCGACCCTCGCGGCCGCCGGCCAGACCCTGCGCGCCGGCACCTCCGCCGCCTCCCCGTCTCGCCGCCGGGCTCCCGGCCGAGCAGCTCCGCCGCCTGGCTCCGCCGCTGCAGCTCCGCGCACTAATCAAAACCGGCGGCTCGCGCCCTACTCCTCGGCGCGTCCCGCCCCCGGAACCGCGGCGCCCGCCTCTCCCAGGGGCGGTGCCCCCGCCGCTCCACGCCCACCGTGCCGCCCGCGCGCCCGCTGCGGCGCCGGCGAGAACGCGCCGGGGAGATCGTGTCCTGCTGTCCGCTGGACGCAGGCCGGGCTTCCTCCGGCTCCTGGCTCCGGCTGCCGCCCGTCTAGGCGGGAAGCGCTGCAGCCCTGGGCCGAGCTCCCTTGGCGGCGGTGGCGGCTCGGGACCCTGTGCATGGCCCGGAGGCTGCTCTCCCTCCGTCCGGCCCTGCTGTTCCCGGGTGCCCCAGAAAAAGACACGGGTTCCGGGCAGCTGCCGGAGCTTGTCTCGAAATCCCACTTCCAACGCCGCGTCTGCAGCCTCCCCGCCGGGCACTGCTCGGAGCAACCAGGCCCTCCTCCAGGCCACCTTCCTGGGCGCAAGGGTTGCCCATTGCCTTCCCTCTTACTGCTTTTAGTGCTGTGGGATCTTGGATCAAAAGGGACCTGAGAGTGAAATCTCCATGCCCCTCACAGATCTCTAAGCGCCTTAGCGACCGTGTGTATTATAAAAAGAAATTCTCAAACTCAGAATTAAAGGATCAGTTGATACTGAAATCCCCTAAGACTGCTGTCCAATACGGTAGCCACATGTGGCTAAGTGAGGGTTGGAAAGGCAGCTCGCCACTCTGTGGAGTACGGTGTAAACAGTACACCAGATGTGGAAGAACATCTCGTTAGTAAATTTTATATTGACTGCATGTTGAAAGGATAATATTTTGGACATATTACATTAAATTAGATAAATTATTAAGTTAATTTCTCTTTTTAAAGACTAACTGTGGCTAGCTGCTAGAAAATTTTAGTTGTATATGTGGACAGCACAGCTCTAAAATGGAAAGAAATGCCACTTGGTTAGGGTAACTATTTGTCCTAATTTTAAGTAATCCCAAGAAGATGCTAGTACTCCATGTTTCTGTTTCTTCAATCTAGATGAGTTTATGCTATTTCTACATTGTTTTATGTTTATTGTTTCAAGTAATTTCCTTTTAAATAATCCACGACCTCCCTTGAGAGATTTCAGAATTGAATTCAATTTTGAAAAGAAGTTGTGGCCGGGTGTCGTGGCTCGCGCCTGTAATCCCAACACTTTGGGGCTGAGGCAGGTGGATCGCGAGGTCAGGAGTTCAAGACCGGCCTGGCCAAGATGGTGAAAGCCTGTCTCTACTAAAATTACAGAAAATTAGCCGGGTGTGGTGGCGGGCGCCTGTAATCCCAGCTACTCCGGAGGCTGAGGCAGAGAATTGCTTAAACCTGGAGGGGCGGAGGTTGCAGTCAGCCGAGATCGTGCCGCTACACTCCAGCCTGGGTAACAGAGCGGGATTCCGTCTCAAAAAAAAAAAAAAGAAAGAAAGAAAGAAAAGTTGTTTATTATTGCCGTTTATGATAATTAATAGTGACTGAATGATCTACCTCAATCTGCAAATAAATGACAAACTACAACTAGAAGAGTTAATGTCCGAACCATTCCTCGATTAACATCCTTGGTTCCACTGGTGTAGAATCAGTGGGAAAGAACAATGCTTCAAAATCAAATTCCTGCTGTTGAGAGTTTCTGGTTGATAAAAATAGCAGGATTGAGGGCCAGGCGCAGTGGCTCATGCCTGTAATCCCAGCAGTTTGGGAGGCCTAGGCAGGAGGATTGCTTGAAGCCAGGAGTTTGGGAGATCAGCCTGGGCAACATGACGAAACTCTGTCTCTACTAAAATAAATAAATAAATAAATAAAAAACCAAAGCAAAACAATTAGCCAGGTATGGTGATGGCACCTGTAGTCTCAGCTACCGGGAAGGCTGAGGTGGTAGGATCACCTTATCCTAGGAAGTGGCGGGTGCAGTGAGCTGTGATCGTGCCACTTGACTCTACCCTGGGTGACAGTGAGACCCCGTCAAAAAAAAAAAAACAGAATAGAATCCTAACATTGAAATAACATTCCAAACAAAAATTTACTATTGTAGTTAATTCTAAAGCACACTTCAAAAAACACTAATACATTTTAATTTCTCTGAAATGGGAATGCATCTCATAGTCAATGCCATATTACAATTAATTAGCATGTGTTTTTTCTTTTTTCCTTTTTTTTTCTGAGATGGAGTCTCGGTCTGTTGCCCAGGGTGGAGTGCAGTGGCATGATCTAGGCTCATGGCAACCTCTGCCTCCCCGAGTTCGAGCAATTCTCCTGTCCCACCCTCCCAGGTAGCTGGGACTACAGGTCCATGCCACCACGCCCGACTAATTTTTGTGTTTTTAGTAGAGACAGGGTTTCACCATATTGGTCAGGCTGGTCTCGAACTCCTGACCTCAGGTGATCCACTGGCCTCAGCCTTCCAAAGTGCTGGGATTACAGGCATGAGTCACTGCGCCCAGCCAATGGCTTGTGGTTTTTTTTTTTTTTACTCAAATATAAAATAATAGTGCATCTTAGTGGTATATAAAATAATGCTGCATCTTATAATTAAATGCCCTCTTAGATTTAAGGAACTACACCAATTGCTTAATTTAAGCATTGTTTTATATTCTGCATTTTTTGAAAAAAATGTTTTCTGAAACCTTACAACAAAGGATTTTATACAGTGTGACCAATAACACAAAAAAATGAGGCCAAAGAAATGTGAATGTAGATATTCTTAAGAGTTAACAAATTTGCTAAATTGAGTATAATCAGTAGATTAAAGATCAGTTATATTATACTTGACCCTAGTTAAACTATGTTTACCCAAACTTCGTTTTAAAACAACAGCTTTAGCAAAGGGAAGAGTATGAAAACGGTATGAGGATCTCTGGTTGCCATGGAGCAGAGGAAAGGGACAAATAGATGACAGAGGATTTTTAGGGCTGTGAGTGAAACTATTCTGTATGATCCTATAATAGTGTATACCTGTGAATATGGCGCTCTGGTGCAGGATGTTGGTAGTGTAGGAGGCTGTTGGAGGGAATGGCAGGGGGTATATGGGAACCCTCTGTACTTTCTGCTCAGTTTTGCTGTGAACCTAAAACTACTCTGAAAAGAAATTTTTTAAAAAAATTAGTGTACAAATATGTGTATAAAATTGGAAATGCCACAAATGTCTGAATAAGATGTACCAGTTTGTGGCTGGGCACAGTGGCTCAGGCCTCTAATCCCAGCACTTTGGGAGGCCAAGGTGGGAGGATCACTTGAGCCCAGGAGTTTGAGACCAGCCTGGGCAACATGGCGAAACCCCGTTTCTACAAAAAATAGAAAAATTAGCTGGGCATGGTGGCGGGCAACATGGTAAAACCCTGTTTCCACAAAAAATACAAAAATTAGCCAGGCATGGTGGTAGGCACCTGTAATTCCAGCTACTCGGGAGGCTGAGGCAGGAGAATCACTTGAACCTGGGAGGCAGTGGTTGCAGTGAGCCAAGATCTTGCCACTGCACTCCAGCTTGGGTGACAGAGTGAGACTCTGTCTTAAAAATAAATAAATAAATAAAAAATAATTACCAGTTTGCCATCAGATTCCAGGGTTTAGCACCTTGTGGACACTTAAATATTTGTTGACTGAATGAATAGATAAAATGCTTATTTATCCATTGACAGAAGTCACTAGAAAAATTTCAGTGGCTTCTGAAATTTTCTGGAAAAATTTCTCAGCTCAGCTTTCTCCTTTATAAAGATTTTTAAATGGTTTTGCTTTGTGAGAAAAATACACGTTAACTTCCATACCTCCTCCTTTACCTTATAAAATTAAGCCAAAGAATTAGAGTAATTACATATTAGTTCAACTAATCATACCCTGAAGACCTACTCCAAAGCCCATACTCTACTTGACAGTCAACAGCATAATTTTTGGCTCAATATCAGACATATTTTTCATCTTTGTCTTTGTTATAAATAATTTTTCATATAAACATTTTAAAGATCACAATTCAGTTTTCTCTGGTGAGTGTATTATTATTTTTAAAAGATAGGCATACTGCAAATTTTCAGCCCTATAAAAACTTAAAAAATAAGGTGAAAACAAGGTGATCCTCCAGAAATGGAGTAAATTTGAAGTTTCATAAACAAAGTTAGAATCAATTAACATGAAATTTGTGGTGCTAATGCCAAGAAAAAAATAATTCTTGTCTTTTTTCTAAACATGTTTAGAATTAAGTAGAAAAATAATTATCAGCTCAGATGATTAACTTACATTGGTTTGTTATGCATGAAATGGTAACTTTGTAAAAGCCTTCAGATCCTAAGATACTGTGTTACTGTAAATTGCCTTTAAATGATACAAAGGTTCCGGGCAAATTATCAGTTCAGCACCTGATCTTGATGAACCACTGGTATCCTGTGTTTATATATGTGGGTGTGGTCCAGGGGAGTGACTAGAGTTGACTAGAGTTTACTAGAGTTCATGTTCTTCTCAGCTGCTATGCTAACTCATATCCAAATGCCTAATTAAAATCTTTTTTTTTTTTTTTTTGAGATGGAGTTTCGCTCTTGTCACCCAGGCTGGAGTGCAGTGGTGCAATCTCAGCTCACTGCAACCTCCACCTCCCAGGTTCAAGCAATTCACCTACCTCAGCCTCCAGAGTAGCTGGGACTACAGACGCTTACCACAATGCCCGACTAGTTTTTGTATTTTTAGTAGAGACAGGGTTTCACCATGTTGGCCAAGATGTTCTCGATCTCCTGACCTTGTGATCCGCCTGCCTCAGTCTCCTAAAGTGCTGAGATTACAGGCGTAAGCCACCGCACTCGGTCTGAAGTCTTTTTTTTAAATCACATACTTGGCCAGACATGCCTGTAATCCCAGCACTTTAGGAGGCCAATGCGGGTGGATCACGAGGTCAGAAGTTTGAGACCAGCCTGGCCAACATGGTGAGATCCTGTCTCTACTAAAAATACAAAAATTAGCCAGGCATGATGGTGCGTGCCTATAATCCCAGCTACTCAGAAGGCTGAGACAGGAGAATTGCTTGAACCTGGGAGGCAGAGGTTGCAGTGA